CCTGTTTTGTTGCCAGCGTGAGCGATTACCCTCGCAGCTGCGAAATAAAACTTGTGATTGCTCTCGTAGGTATGGGCGGCCACTTGCGATGATGCGTCATGCAAGGAAATCGACAGGGTTTACAATGCAGATGATGAGAGCCCTGATCGATGACTGTCACCGATGTCTACACAAATACAATACTGAGCAGAAGAAATGAGAGTGTGCACTGGTTCTCGGTGATCCCATAACTGAAGACCTTGCTCATGCAATCGCTGCACTAGCACATTTCAGTCAAGCCAAGAAGCGAATAATCCTGGACCAGAAGCGGAATAAGTTATAACCATCCGACACGGGAAGCTCAAACTTGATACATAACCTCTCCTCTAAGCAACTAACGGAACAACATTTATGAGTGCTCCAGCATGAAGCTTGTTTTAACACTGCCGATGTCGACCCTTTCGATTTCATTGCAGCCCTAGAAGCCATGCTTGTGAGGACTCAAACAGCAGACGACGAGAAACACTCCCTTCGACAACGCGTCACCTCCTTGCTGATGACACACCGTCTAGCCCAATGTGTGTCGAAGAGTGAGTCACAAGTTATTAAAGAACTACGAACGGATGATCATATAATCATTCTGCCAGCGGATAAGGGACGATCAACCGTCGTAATGAACCGTGAAGACTACAATGAGAAAGCCAAAAGTCTACTTGATGACAGAGATCTCTACAGACCAGCACACAACTCAGAAGCAAGGGCAGTAGTTAATCGGCTGAATAATTTACTCGGCGAATTCAAACGCCAAAATGTGATCACTGAGAACGATCGGCGCCTAATGAAACCCACAGATACTGCCCTGGCTCGCTCTTATGGCCTGCCAAAGGTGCATAAACCAAACGTCCCATTGCGGCTAATCGTTGCCATCAAAGGCAGCCCCACCTATAATTTGGCAAAATGGATGCATTCAAAACTAAAATTCCTCCAAGAAAACTCTGATGCCTCAGTTCGTTCAGCCTCCGAATTCCTGACAGACCTCCATGGCCGAAGGATTCAATCGGACGAAATGATGGTTTCCTTTGACGTGACATGATTTTTCACATCTATTCCACCGGAGTTGGCACGAGACGTCTTACGCAGAAAACTTGACGAGCTGTACGACGAAACCCAGAGTTCGCTCAAAATTGAAAACCTCATGAGGCTGTTCAAATTCTGCCAAAAGACATACTTCACCTTTGCAGGAGAGACATATGAGCAAAT